CGCTTTGACTATTAGCTTCACCCCTTTTGTTTTTCTGTATATTAATTTAAACGTGTTATCGCAAGTTGGCTGGCCTCACCCCTCACCCTCGAGTTAGTTATTCAAAATAAAAGGTCCAGAATGACTGATTGTTTACTGCTGTTATCTTATTAGTTCTTGGAAATACATTTGATGTTCCTATTGTCCGCGAGTGTTTCACTATTATCGCAACCCCCTTCATATATTTCAGGCCCTCCCGATAATTCATCCGAAAGGAATCCCCCCCCCCCCCCTCTCTAAGTCTTCACCGAAATCATCATGACTCAGCCAGGAATTATTGTATTGAATTCACCGGCCAAAGTCACAGTGTACGGGCACCCCTAGTTCGTTTTCCTTTGAAAAAGCGGCTAATTTATAATTAACTTGACAATATTATATATAGACTGGTAAGAGTCCTCACCGTAGGTTGACTCGGACCGGTCTATTCTTTCCGGGTGTATACCTATTGTGACTCAATTTTTATTCTTTTCTTTGTTTTAAATAGTCATTACTATGAAAACTAACTCAGAAAAATTGGAAATTAGATGAAGTACTCTATTATTCTATTACCGAAATGTCTACGTTGCATTTTTGCCACAAAATACATGTTTTTAACAAATGACTTTTTTTCTCCAATTATCAATTGAATTTTCTTCAGAATAACAATGATTATTATATATCATTTTGAAGCTCATTCTATCGGCTTTCGAATCACACTTCTTACCTTCGTTTGGTTACGCCCACTCTGTTCTGAGTTTTATGTCAATAAACGTCTTAACGACATGTCACAGTTATTTTGTATGTTAACGATTATGTGAAAAAGGACAAGTGAGACAAATGAAATGTTCTATATAATTTGGAAGCTCACTTTCTGAGCGTTCCAATCATATCATTTGCACTTGTACAAGCCTGAAAAATCAATTTTCAAATGATATAACTCTCACTGACGTCTGGTAAGCATTTTTCATGTGAATGACGTTTGAAATACTAATTTGTTTCAACAGCATCCACGCAACAAACGTCAATGGAAGAACTTCAACTTTGAAGAAATATATCAAAATTATGAAAGAAAACGAATACAATACAAAGGATTATTATTCAATAACCCACCCTTTGTAAAGATTGCTTCAACCGATTTTTTTTTTGTCGGAAGTATACTGAATATATGATTACAGATAATAAAAATTGTTCTTGATCGCGCGTGCATTCCGCGGGCGCTTCTAATATTTCCCCAGTGTTCTAAACATATCCCAATCCATAATTTACATGGAATTATAATAATGAAACGAATAGATCAACTTCAAAATTAATAAAACGGGTAAAAATAATGGAGCGGCGTTTTAGTGGCGTATCCAAAATTGTTTAAAATAAAATTCCTAGGATAAAGTGGACCCGGGAAATTTTTTTTTTCAATTGTTGATTGCATAACAGTTAACATGGATTTCATTGGGTGCAATTTTCATTCACACAATTATGGATTAAGTGGACTATTTCTTAATTATTGAAGAAGATATAGAGGAAACAAAAACGGAAAGAACAAAAAACAAGTGGGGAATGCCACTATAACGAACTGCGTATACCCGAGTGGAAATTAGTTCGGGTCTACTTGAAGTCCGATCAGAACTTAATTCAGTTTCAGTGCGGTTCGCTTGATCAGGTAAGATCTGATCAGAACCTGACCAAGGTTTGATCCAAAATTTCGGATCCTAAAAACTACAAGCGAATTTAGATCGAGTTCTGATCAGACAGGCCTGATCAGATGACACTTGATGAAAACTTGATCAAGTTTCGAGCCAGTATATTGGACCCTATAAACTACAAATGGCTTTACATTAAGTTCTGGTCAAACATGCCTGATCAGATGACACTTGATGAAGTCCTGACCAAGTTTTGACCAAGCAAGTCAGATAAACATGATCTCACTCTGAGATCAAGCTGTCTCAACACAATTTGTTCTCCTTCCGATTCAATTGCCTTGATTTTCAATTGAATAGCTCGATAAAAAAGAATCACAAATGTATAGGAAGCAAGGGAAATATATATAGTGAAGTATCAAACATAAGACCGCATTATCTTGAATCTAAAAAAATGATCAAACATGCATCTGTTCATTGTGTTATGATTATTATAATTATCTTTTAATAATGAAATAAAATTTGAACCGAATATGTTTTCTCGCTCAGAATGTACATGCAATAATTTCAAAGTCATCAAATACTCCCTTGCAGATTGTGTAGGTAGAAAGAATCTACTCAAAAACAATAGTACGGTAGTCCAGTGGTTAGGGCGTAGGTTTAGTAATCGTAGGTTCCTCGGTTCGATCCCCAGCATTGTTAAAAATAATAGGGTTTTTTCATCGCTAATTACAATCGGGCTTCATTACGAGCCGTCAGATATAATAAAAAAAATTAATTATCTTTTGTTTTAAGTGAGTTATGGTTAATATTTATTATAGTTTTCGATATTCCAGTCATCCGATTTAGATACATTTGACTTGATCAAATCCGGAACCGTTAACCCGGATCAGAAAAGTTTGATCAAGTCTTGATTTAAATTTGCGTTACATGTCTGATCAAAATTTGATCCAGTTACCGTGTCACTTCCGGATCAATCATCAAGTATGACCTGATCCAGTCTTGACTAGAACTTAACCAAAATTTCCACTCGGGTAGCTGTTGTTGCTAAGAAATTAGCAACAAGCTTTCGAATCAATTTTCTGAAAATGGGAAAATGCTAGAGGTAGTTCCATCATCTTTTCACTTGAACAATAATGCTTTGAAGAATAAAAATTAAGCAGCCATTTCATTGATAGTTCTGATAATATTCTCCATTGATCACAAAGAAGATGAAAAAAAATCTCATATACAATATGCTATAACTTAACAACAAATGATTCTGGATTCAAATGCGATTCTGATACGATCAAGAGCCTCATTAATGTCAATTTTTGAAATCATCATTAATTCCTCTTTGATAATAATTACTTGAGTTATCGTTGAAAATCAATTCTCGAAAAAATACAAATTTTTCCGAATCTTTCTGTCGATCTGAATTCTAATTCGTATTAATGGATGGTGGGCATGGAAGTCTATATTCATAGGAAAATTCAGGAGATTCCATTGATCCTTTGTGAAGCAATTTAAGAAAAACGAAATAAAGATCAGTGAAAAATTATGGAGTTTTATGAATCGTCCTGGAAATTGCCAAACTAATCAGTGTCAATACATAGGGCTTTTAATAGTGTCTATTCATTTTGAAAAATCATGGTATTCCATCAATGCCAGGTGAAGAACGATAGAGAGAAAGAAAAGCAAAAAAAAAACACCAACACGCGCATACCTACATACATACATACAGACACCATATAAAAAGCGCATATTCGGGCCACAAAACCCTATTAGATCCATTATGAGAAATACCAATTTTATGCCAATTGCGTGAAGCCCGGCGTAGTCAGGGTGGGAGTAATAGCGTGCACCAAGTGGGCCGCAATTAGACAGAGAGAGCGCTGCGCGTTTTCTTTTCAAATTTAAAAAATTTTTCCACCTAAATATTCAAATTTTCACCAATTCAAGGTGAAAAATCCTGAGGTGTTTCGGGCTTGATTGTTCAAACATTATGGTGCGAGAAATTGATTATTTCTTGGTTTTTTTAATAATGAATAAGTATTTTATTAAAAATTGAAAAAATATGAAATGTCAGTTTTTTGAAATTCAATCAATAAATTATGAATGTAAGGTTTACTTAATAAGTTTTGCCCACTCTTGGCCAGATCACACATTTTCTAGTCTGTGAACATTTTTCAATTACCTTTGCTCGATCACTCCCTATAGCTAATTATTTTTATGTTTTTTCGAAGTGATTATTCATTACCGCGGTTAACTGGAAATGGATGAATTTTCAAATGTTTAGCAGTAAGATCGATATAATGAAAAAAAGTCAACAAGACATGAAATGATACAATTCACATTTCTTGTTTCCTTGTGCTTCTTTAAAGCCAAAAATCTTTTAAATTTTTTGAATGCTGCTTAGGAAATATTCAAACAATATTAATAAAAATTGAAAAATCTCTTTACAAGTGCTTTTCAATTCATTTGCTGCTGAAATATTCAATTCCGAATGATTTATTCGACGGAATTTGATGCCTTTATATAGAAAAAAATGATTATTTAATATTTTTTACACGATATTTTTTGCACGAAATATGTTCATATTTTTCGTTCAAAAATTCAAAATTTTGCGCGTTGACTGACGTAACGATACCCCCACTCTGACCCAAGATTCGTGGTCTCGCCCCTCCGACTACCGGCACAATACAATAGGACCCATTCTTTAATAGTCATTGGCCTAATTGGGGTTGTGAGCTAGGTGAGCCCATTGAGCGCACTTTGCCCATGTCTACTCTAGAAGCTGTGAAGTTCGAATCGGCCTAAGATCAGCTTGGGTTATTGCAAGCCTTGAATGTCTAGAAGATCCAGAGCACCAGGTCAAGCAATTATGGTAACTCTTTCAAGTTAACGGGATGAACTTGCTGACAAGCAAGCTAAAAAAATTAATGCACCGGAAATACTGAGATAAACAGCAAGCAAGGCCAGAGCTGGCTCACGAGAAGGCAAGATCTGTTCCAGAGGTAACAGGAAGAAATCGTCCCGAGCAATAAAAGACAACAATATTCTACTTATTTTTTAAGGTTTCTGCTCTTGTTTTTTGTTTTCTCAATATCTTTTTTAATGACTTGGACATCGTCCACATAATCTATAATTTTGTAAATAAAAATTTTACACAATCAAGTTCATGTTAATTGTTATCCAATCAGCAACTGAGAACAAAATTGACAATATTCACTGCTCCATTTTGCCCCACCCTCCCCTACTTTCTTCGACTTGTATTCTTTTCCGTTCAAAAACTATGAAGGATGAATGGTCTCCTAATGAATTGGAAAAGAAATGAATGTTCAACTAAAATGATTATTAACAATTTGGTTTACTGCATCTCAATGTAATTTTATTTATTTAACCTTCTATGTCTTTTTCTTGAAAAAACACCAGTCGTGCCGTTATTGTGTACGCAATAGTCTTCATCTGTAAATACATCATTCCTCGGTACCTAAAACCTATCATTGTTGTTCATCCTCTCAATTGTGTACTATCAGGTTTAGCAACTTTTAGCAATTTGTAGTGTATAGTATCTATTTTGTAAATTCAGAATTCAACCCCAGATTTTCGTCGTATGAAAAATTATTTCACTCTGACGTGCATGTCATAAAAAAAAGTAACAAAAAAGATATATACGCGCACATCACCTTTCCTCCATTTCACTCATAATATGTATACATATATATCCTCTCTATAATATTGATTTTTATAATATATGCGTATATATATATGCGCAAATTGTTTGTGTATTTTATACATGCATGTATTATTCACACTATATTCTCTATTTACAGCATTTATACAGAAGAATGTTCACATTACACAAGTATTTTTATTTGATATTTATACATTTCTACGTTATGTTACATAGGTACATGAAAAGTCCGAGAATTGAAAAGTACGAAGTACAGGAACACTTTGGGATAAGAGACGTTCTTCAATTTTTATTTTCAATCAAATTGACGAGATTACCATAAATTCTTCTTTTTCTGTGGTCAGTTTTGATTCTGCATATGTTCTTATCAATCAAATAGTTTTCTTCAATTGATCTGAGCAATTGCGTTCCAGGCGTGAGGTGGACGTCACATTATCCTTGAAATATCAGTGACAGCCTCCTCGCTGATTCGCACTCTAAACGACATCTTCATAAGAAGTCTTAAAACCTTGGAAATTATTTCATCATAATTAGTCGTTTCATTTTAGAAAATCAACGTATTAGAATGTGCAGTTCTCATTTTCATTTTTTTTAATTGCTGGTTCATTACGTAATTAGACCGTAACATTGCCGCATATTATATACAGTATTGTACACTTTTATGCTTTCGAAAACGGTTTATAATCCGAACAGTATCTCATATTTATATTATTTTTTAACCATTCGGATACCACATGACTTGGAATCTCCATTATGTTCATGTCCTTCCTCGTCTTTTTTTAACTACACCACGACTTTTACTGACTTATCAGAGATTGAGGCTTATGGCTTTGAAGTTCGGAAAAGTTAGCCCATTGGCTTTTCTTCTCAGTGCTAATCCATCCGCTGTTTTTTTCTACTTTTATAAGAATTTACAAAGCCTAATAATCTGGGAATTTAATTAAATTTACGCGGAAGCTAGCTGCCGCCATACGGAGTGTCACATTGTTGACATGTAGGGCCAGTTGAAGCTGCTACCACTCAACAACATGTCTCTAATGAGTGTCTCAATGGGCGTTTTTCCGACAAGCCGTACGAAAAATAATTGCTCAATTACTTGTGACGACACAGTCCTCAGTGATGGCAACCGCAGCAAGAGCTTACCAAACCTTGTCGGCTGATTCGGATATTGTGTTCTGCAGTATTCTTCCAGGGCGCATTGGGATTTTTCTTGTAGTGATTCAATGTGCGCTACATCTGATAGACCACAAGCATCTGCAACAAATGAATGAATGCACATTATTCTACGATTACAGTAAGAAATGATCGACATGTGGACCAACATCAGAAAAATAAACTTTATTTACTCATCTATCAGCACTCATTCATCGGAGACTGAGTGTTCGAATCATTCGGGAAAAAGCATTGAGAGAAGAAAGAGAACGTAAAAATTTTTAAAAAATCAGCAAACCTTATACGCGTAAACTGATAAAGATTTATGAATATATCTTGTACATCATAGGATATATTCAGACCTTGATCTTCGATCACTTCAATGACAATGAATAAGACCTTGGTTGGTCACTTGCTACGCACGTTCTCTCAACATGTGCCATTTTTAGAGATGCGTTGGAGCAGCTGTGATAAATTCTATATAGACCCCTTAACTTCCTCACAAATCATTTATTTCCACACATTTTTTTATGTATATAGTACCAAAGAATTCTAGTGATAACGATGTTTCAATATTGGGGAATTGGGTGAACGCTTTTACTGTAACCCTGTCCATTGCATGATGGTAGTTGCCCGTTGGAATGAACTTCGTGAATGATGTGGGACCCACATACCACAGTTTGGCAAACTACTGAATATATAGATTTTGGGTAAGGCCCAAAGTATGCATGGTAATGAATGTTGATTCAATGGAAAAACAATTTTCTTAATGAGCCACGTGAAAAAAAAGGCTCCGTAACCTGACTGAGAGATATGAACGTCGAGCCTATACGCGCACATTTCAAGGGTGTGTAGTGAAACAAAAAAATATCTTTAATTTTTAGACAAAATCTAATATCCACATATATTGAAAGTGTGTAATTTGATATCAATCTAATATGTTGGGCGGCAAGCCCGATACATGTACCTATGCATTTTTGTTAACATTCGGTATGTGGAAATAGTGGTGCATCTATAAGAGTATATGGTCGAATAATTCCTCAAAGAAAAGAGCATTCAACAAAATGTTTCCAAATGGAATCTTTCCTGAGCAGTCATAGACAGTCGTCGTATTTTTCGCAAACCCATGAATCGATTGACGCGGTAAATTGTAATTCTATAGTCACAAAATTATTTTCTCTTTTTTTGCTTCCGAACGGGTTAAGCTTTATAATCATCTGATTTTCGAATTTTCTACTTTTGCTTGGAAATGATGTAGAATGATCCAAAACGTAAAAATATAAAATTTGAACACAATGTGTGTATGTGCACAAGGTCAACTTCCCTCATGCTTTCAGAAAATGAAAGAAATAAACGACTAAAGTTTTTTCGAGAAAGGTCAAATTTTGTCAAATAATAGGCATTACTGAGGACTAAGTCTGCACCAGAATTCAGCTCGATTGGTGAAGTCGTTTTTCATCAATTGCTATTTCGTTCTGAATCGTTTTTCGCGAATATCTCAAAAACTATCCAACCGGTTTGCTACTATTTCTATTTTTCTATTTTTCTAGTTTGCTATTTTTCACCTCTCGATGTAGTTTATCTCAATCCATTTAAATATATCTCTATATTCCTATTCTTATGTTTTTTTTCAAAAATCGGATCATGAGATCTTTCAATGCTTCTTCTTTTTCCAAAAAATTTTGTTAGCACGCGCAAATTTCGGGAAACTGCTCCATCAAAATGAAATTCAGCCCGAAGTTTACTCTTGGCAATGAAATATTTCGGATTGAAGAACTACTAAATCGAATCATTAGTTGATGAAATATTGATCTTTGCTTAAAATTACCTTTCCAAAATATCTCGAAAACTATCCAATCGATTTCAATTTTCATATCTCCAAATATTCTGCTTAATGTACTCTATCTCAGTCAATCAAAACATTTATACTCCTCCATACTGAGGAGACGACATATTTCAATTTTACTTTGTTTTTCAACCAATTTTCAGGACAAAACAATAAAGGACATCTCCAAGTTACATCTTGGGAAATTTTTGAGAATTCTCAACGAAATTGTCAATTTGACACATCGTCAATGCCAAATTTGAACTTGAAAGATTGATTTTTCAAGAAATGAGACTGCACACAAAGGTTTGAACATTTTCTCTAGCCGTTCGGAAGCATACCATCAATTCATTAAGGCAATGAAAGATTGAAAAAATCACTTTAGAATATGCACGCTGTCATATGCTCACAACCTCTACTTATTTATTGTTGTGTGGAACATCCTTAACCATGCTTTGCAGATATAGTCAAAAACAAAATTTCTGACCCTCTCTATAATTCGTTATATTTATCGCAATTAATTTTCAACTACAATTTCAATGCGTTAATTAGTTGACGGAATAGCTATAGAAAATTATGATATTGTATTCGATTCTATGAATCAATATTACATTATTTACTTAAATAAATAAATAAAAATTTTCGTCAATCGTCAGAAAATTTTCACCATCGCTTTATATCTGCTTTTGATAGTAAATTTTCATAATTTTAACAAAATTCTATATTTTATACTATATTCACAGAAATTTTGATTTATCCCATAAGAGAGCGTGTTAATTGAAAACTTTAATAATTAATAATCACAAAACGGTGTTGTGAATTATTCTCCAATTTTATACAAGCATCTGTTACCGCTTCAAAAACATTATTGCAAAATGAAAAATTTCACGCAATTCTTATATCTTCACCATACACGCAAAACCACCTTAATAAACCTGACTTCTTCAGTATGAACCTTAACGTTACATTTACTATTCGGTTATAGTGGGGAAAAATACACTAATAATGAGCCCCCATAGTAAATGCGAATCCATGTGCCTTTCTTATCAAAATGTCCTTACTCCCAGTTATGCATCCTGTTGTGGAAACACCCACCGTCGTTTTAGGACAAGATAGATTTATTGATAGAGAGATTGAGGTCCCGCATAAAGAATAAAGAATCACTCTTTTTGAAAGTATTCCTGTATCAAAAATAATCTGTACGGATGGAAGAGATTGTAGCCCTGGGTGTCAGAAGTAGCTGACTTGAATTGTAGTGGGGATTGGCACAGTGGTGATAAATTTGGGGATTAAAATGTCCTCAGATCAAACATACAGACGCGACCTCTCTCAATCGTATAATTGTTCAGAGGAAGAGTGTACCTACCGTCAATAGGTAGGCGGAAAAAATATCCCCGAAAAAAATAGCCCACACACCCAAAACGCGTTAAAACCCACGCAATTTGATAGACCATAGGAAAATTAGAGCCCCTGAAAAAATGGACAACGAAAAAAATAATTAAATTAAAAAATAATTAAATTGAGCGAGTTTTAACACGTTTTGAATGTGTGGGATATTTTTTCCCTGGGATATTTTTTCCGGGATTCCCGTCAATACGCTGACTAATTCTTAGAAATCTATTACAGTTGCCAAGTGAGTTGTTAATATCCGATACTACCGTACGAGAAATAAAAGAAAGGCATATTCGCATTCTTTTCTCGAAATCAAGACCGTTTCTTTGGGAAGAATTCGTTAAAACCGACATTAAACTAATGAATTCAATCAGCCCTTTTCACGACAGCATTTTAGAATAAGATGGTTCGTCATCTCACACCTCGAAAGAAGTAGGCTTATATTTTTCATGAAGATTTATGGAAGTCGTACTGCCTTCTATCTCTATACAGATGTTTGGAAATAAGATAATTTTTTTCATGACCTTTGAAGCTTCCTACTCCCCGCTGTTATTATTCGCACCGGATCAGTATTCATTTTGAGCAGCCGAAGGATACCATCAAGCAAAACATTGATTAAATGGTTGAAGATCAAATTTTTGAGGACATTGAGTTTCGGTTGATGATAGACGTCTTCTGAGGTGAGCGTAATGTATTTTATCTATTTGGTACGGAGCATCCTTCTTCCGCAGAACCCTTTAATTTTATTCATCGCACCTACGAATCGCTGATCGCTTCAATTATTGGAATTCTGATAGAGGTTTTTTAATTGAATTCCTCATGTACATAAATTTCACGTTAGCCATTTTCCTTATATTAAGTGCAATGTTAAAATCGTATTTTGAGTTACTGCCAAATACTCTCCTTATCGGTACCTTTTCCTTAACCCTTAACCATTCGTCAACTTCTAGTAGAAGTTGGAATCTCTACTCAACCAGCTACTGAACGATAACTACTGGCATAGGGTGAAGAAAGTTGAAATTAGAGGACTGCGTTTCAATGATCATTCCGAAATTTAACAACATGGCGCTTAACATTTTGCATCTTAGAGTTTGTTGATACGAGAGGACTGCGTACTGAAAAGAATATCTGGTGATTTTCCCAGAAAATTCATTGTTACAATGCTACATAGATGCTACATGTTTCCCGAATAGGCCATCTCAATCCAATGTCATGGCATGTCAATCTGTCCCTTGTTCAATGAAATTCTGTATAAAAATGTCATTAAATATGAACATTTTTTATGACTTTGTCGGCATGTTCTACATTTTATTGATGAGAAACTATTTGCTATAAACAATAGCAAAAACAGGGGAGGAATCGAAGGAATTTTAGCGTTTTATATTTGACTAAAAGTGTCTATAAGTACGTACATCCTGTCTAAAACGAATTGAACAAGATTTACGTATTTCACGAAACACAGTGCAGATGTTCTGATTTAATTGTTATCATTCAGATCATGCACTTATGCCCCAATATTGATAGCAGAAGATAGGCTTAAAGTGATGCTTTTTGGAACTTGGGTATACGGAAATTTAACAAGTCACGAATTTTGTCAGAATATACTTTTCGTTGATGAAAAAGTCTAAAACTGTTTCCGGAATATCTAGCTGCTAAAATCAAGGTGAGTAATACCAAACAACGTAATGAGATAGCACAAAAATTGGCGGAATTTCAGTAGCCAGTAAAACGATAAGTCCGAAACAGATGTGATGGTTAAAATTTTTGTTTCTTTGCCGGAAATTCGGTAAATGTATGGTATAGATCCACCACAAATGATTATCATTAAAATATCGATTCCTTTAAGAAACATCCATCGGTATCCGTGAACTAGACACTTACCAAA